AAGCCTGATGACTGAAGTTGTATCCCTGAAACCATGTGATGGAAGAACAGAACAGACATAACATGTGTGTGCACGTGCGCGCGCGCGCAGTGACACACACACACACACACACACACACACACACACACACACACACACAACCAGTCAATGTGAATAAAAAATCCTGAGCCAATGAGAAATTAAATAAATTGCCCAGATCACAGAATCCAACTTGAATACAGGACATATTACTGTAGTGTTCATATATTGCTTATTCATTTAACACATGTGAGCTTATGTTATTGTGTTAGATTCTGATTACCTTTATATAATTGACATTTTTCAAGCACTGTATTTCAACATCAATTTTTAATATCAATCCTTTCTGACAAGTTCTCATATTGCCTATCCCAGTCTCTAGCTAGCTGTGTAGTAAAGAATGACAAACACCACCCTGGCCCCATCTTCTAAGTACTGTCATTGCAGGCATCCGCCAGCACAGTTTAAGTGATGCTGCGGGGGTCACACCTAGGGTTTCATGAACGTTAGGACAGCACTTTACCAGTTAAGCTATATCTGAAGCCAAGCCTTTTGATTTTGAATCATGATAATTTAGCATAGCAGTGAAATTTAGGGGAGCACTTACATCACCATATGATGTAGCTCTCTGCATACTAGTAGATTAGATTAGGAGAAGCTGCTAACAGAGATTAAATTCCAAAGGGTGATAGATGGATTTTCAGTGCCCTGTTTTGAGATATGTTTGATATTTTTTCCCAACTTTAACTTTTTAGGTTTTAAAAATTCTGTGTTAGGGAGGATGTATGCACATCTGTATGAGCATGTGCATACGGAGGTCAAAGGGCAACCTGGGGAATTGGTTTTCTCCTTCTACCATGTGTGTCTCAGGGATTGAACTCATATATGCAGCCTTTATCCACTGAACTATTACAGGCCTGATACTTTTTATAGTTCTCACAATAAAAACATTACAGAAGGGCTGGAAATAAATGAAAAGAATAACCCTGAAAGTATAGGAATGATTTGCCATGGTTCATCAATTTTGGACAAATCAAATTTTCTTTTTAAGTAAATGACTATAGCTTTTACACATTGTAAAAGACCTGATACACATTTATATTAAGGATATATATATATATATACACATATATATATGTATGTATATATATTCATGATGAATTATCCAGAATAACTTTGTTGAGACACTTGATAGCACACTAGTGAGTGCACACTAGATATATAGTCTCAGCCAACAGTCCTGCTCCTATGTATCCTTCTAAGGGCTGGGGAAGGATTTAGAAGTCCATGGCCACCAATAAGCATGAGAAACAATTACAAGAGATTCTGAGTATCAGAGAATAGATAGGATGAAAGGGATTCTTTGTAGCCTGGGAAGAACCTGTAAGAGTCATCAAGAGTCAACCTTAGGAACCTCTGGAAGATGTCATTTCCTCTACTTCTTCTCCAGACTCTAAAGATTCTAGAACCACTGAAAACATCTTCAGAGAGGAGAATTCCTACCTGTAGGGCTGGGAGAGTTGGCAGTCATCTCCATAGAAGCAGTGGTCATCATAGAAGCTGTGGAGGTAAATTCTCAGATGATTAAAGTAGAAACCCTTTAGCTTGGAGACATCAAGGAGAGGAAACAGATGTTGGGGTTAATTTTATGTTTAAGCCTCTGTCCATTCCAGGCTAGAGAAGAGGGAAACTTGTGTCATTTAGCAATTTCTTCTGAACTGAAATATGCATTCCAAAAAGGAGAGGGGAGGCTCACGAGACTTAGAAAAATAAACAAACCTCACAAGTCTGGTAAAGCTAAAGCTAGGAGATTCTTAGAGCCCAAAGTTATAGAAGAGGAAAAAATGTTTAAGGGAGAAGCCTCTGGCCATCTGAGGTGCCTAGAACAGACACTCTGACCTGGTGAACTGCCTGCAAGCCAAGTAGAGAGCTTCATAGATAGTTTCTGTGAGTTTTCACCGATTCTAGGGTGGTTACTGACGATGAAGCTGCCTTTGAGTCATCCTTGCTCTTGTGAGTAACCCTAATAAACTCACTCCTTACCCAAGTTGAATGGTTGTGTAATTGCTACTTTGGTGTACAATCAGTTCCCTTTCTGGGATGAGTAAATGTTTGTGTGTCATGTCTCTCCTGGAAAAGTCTCACAACAGTTTGAGAAATGGAGATTGGACTTTTGACTGCTTTCATTCCAAAGACCTGGGAGTCATAGGTATAGTAGAACTTTTTAGAAACAGAATACTCACTTCTGGTGGTGGTAGACAGGATTTGATGTGTGTAACCTGCAAAGAAAATGAAAGAAAGAGTAAAAATGGAGGGAAATAGTGATGTGGAAGCAAAAGAGAGGAGAATGTGGGCTCTTCATTAAAGCAAAGTGATGACCACTGCTCACCATCGACATAGAGACTGTTCTTGTCCAGAGTGTAAGGACCCAGTCTGCTGACACCATAGGTCAGCCTGCTGAGCTCCCAATACATCGTCTTTCTGTTCAGTCCTGGGCCAGTGGGGTCAGAATGGTAAGTGCAGACAGCATCAACTCCTGTGCCTGCACCATCATTTTCAGATCTGGGGAGGACAGGTGAGACACAATAAACAGATTCCCCAAGAAGGTATCCTGAAATGCTAGGATAGGGCAAGGAGTAGCCAGAGTAAATGAAAAGGTTGATAGAGGCCCAGAGAGATGGATCAACAGGTGGAAGAATTTGCCACCAGTCCTGACAACTTGGGTTCCATCCCTGGGGCCCACATGGTGGTGTCAATAAGTTATCCTCTGGCTCCCACACGAACACCATGGTACTGTGTGTTCACACACACACACACACACACACACACACACACACACACACACACACACACACGTACACATACACAAATGCATGCACATGCTTATCCATGCATTTCAAAAAATAAACAATGTTTAAAAAGGAAAAAAAGAAGATTGGAAAAGACCAGAAGACAGAGTTAGATTCTTAGCATATTGATTTCTACTAGACTGAGACAATGAGAAGTCATGGAGCCATGAATTTTTATCAAACACAAGACTCAAAACTCTACTCTCATGTTCTGGTATCTGAGGCGCTCGCATATCTAAGACAAATGAGAACTGGATTTAGAAATGACAGCAAGTGAAAAAGGGCAATTTTTGTTTTCACAGTAGTCAGAAGATAGAATTGGAATGTGTAAGGCCGCATCCTTTTATTCAAAAGGCAGAAAACAGCATTGAGAATTCAGACAGGATGATCAGGAATAGTTAAAATTGTGACAATTGTCTACTAGGTGTGGAGATAGCGGCGGGGAGGTGGTAGGATTGGAAGATACCTTGTATTAGGGATTCCTCACTTTACCTGAACAGAAGCCACCCAGAAGGACAACAGAAGGAAACTCAGTACATTTTTAGGCCGGACCCCCCATTTCCATATCCCCAAACCTACCTGAGTGAGGTCAGTACACAGCTAGAATACAGGGAACCCACACTGGACTTTTGGAACAAGGGCCTCAGCTGTGGAAGAAAGTTAGTGGAGTAAGGAGAGATGAGCAGGGAAGTGAGGCTGGCAAGGTATTGAGACATTTCATCCTTGAGGTCAGGCTGAGATGGGCCAGGTTTTCTTGGAAGATTTATCTTTGGGGTCAGGGGTAGATTCTTCTTCCAGGGGCTTGTGTGACAGGCTTATACCTGTGTGTGGTGCTAGGCGCAGTGAACAGAATTCTCACCAGGCTCTGCAGGGTTCTCTCAGTGATATTGAACTTTCTGGATCCAGGGTGACTCATGTCCTCCTCAAATGCCAAGTTAATTATGGTGAAGTTGATAGTAAAATGTACCAGGACAGGGCCTGCTGCTGCAGAGGGGGCGGGAGAAAGACAAACACTAAGCTATTGTTTTTCTCTGAACTTGAGCTTGGGGAAACAGCTGCATGCATAGTCTTGCACTGAGGAGAATCTTCCTCTAGGAAACAGTTTCCTTGGAAACGAGACCTCACCCAAACTTCAACTAAATTACAAAGGATTGATGTGTGTGGGTGACTTTACCGTGAAACAAAAAGAAAATATATCTGTCTTTCCAGTTGGCAAAATCTCTATAGGTTGCTTCCTTTTCTGAAGTTCCTTTTTAAGGCCAAGTCTTTTCTGAAATTTACATACTTATTAATTTAAAACATTTCTTCAATAGAGACTGTGCCAGAATTTATTTGTTTGTTTGTTTAGCGATGACTGAGTGTGTGCATGTCAAAGCATGGATGTGAAGACTAGAGGAAAACGCTCAGGAACTGGTTCTCTCCTTTCACCATGTAGGTCCCAGGAATAAAAATCAGTCCATCTGGCAGCAAATGCCTTTGCTCCCTAAGTCATCTTACCCACCTGTCCATGTGCAGCAGATCAAGTTTGAAGTTCTTTGCTTATACTAGACTGATTATTTGCACTGAACAAAGTATTATAATGCAATGCAAGCAGCATGGAATGGAATACAAATGGAACCCCCCCAGCAAATTATGAAGGGTTTGCTTCCAAGTCACAGTCTGTAAGTGGCAGGACTGAATGTTAATATAGGACATATATTGCAGTCTATGCCTCCTATGCACTCAGCCTATGTGAGGCTGTGCTATTCAATTAGATTCTGATTTTTTTCTTAATGTGAATGTGTATGTATATATATATATATATATATATATATATATATATATATATGATAGTGCATGTTCATATATGTGTGCATGTGTGAAGGCCAGAGGAATGACCATGGTTGCCACCCTCAGGAACACCTACTTCCTTTGGCATAGAGACGGCATTGGCCTGGAGCTTACCAGCTGTCCAGTGAGGCCCAGGGATCTGCCTATCTCTGCCTCCATGTACTGAAACTTCAAGGGCTTCCTACCACATCTGGAAACTTTACATGAGTTTGAGGACTCTAATTCAGGTTCTGGTTACAAACCAAGTGCTTTATTGAGCTACTCCTGTGCTTGAGTTGGTTTTTGACACAGAGGCCACTGTACACTTCAGTTCTCACCTAGCAGCCCTGCTGGTTTGACCTCTTCAAAGGGCTAGAAAAGGATTTAAGATTACAGACTGTCTAAAGGTTTCATGAATATATTTTAGAAAGTGTCTTGGCCTATTGGGTCTGACATTTAAGGAATTCTCAGGGAACTGAGATGTCCTATATGCTCCATTCTTCCTTTTGCCTGCTGCAGTTATAGGAGTATATTCAGAGAGAAAATTCCTACCTGTGGGACTGGAGACAGGGGTTGTCATTCTGCCAGAAATGGTGGTCACCATAGAAGCTGAGGATTAAAAAATACCTGGTGTTTAGAGTGAAAATCCTTTCATTTTAAAGATACCAGAGGGGAGTGCACATGCCTGAGACTTCTTCCTATATATAATGTGCAGATGTGCACATGTATATGGAGGCCAGGGGACAACATCTGGTGTCATTCTTTTTTATAAATTGTTTTATTTTATGTGTAGGGATGTTTTGCCTGCATCATGTCTATGCACCATGTGCATGCTTGGTGCTCAGGGGGGCCGGAAAAGGGTATCTGACTCCCTAGAACTGGAGTTATAGATGGTTGTGAGCCATCCTTTGGGTATCTAGAATAGAACCCAGGTCCTTTGGAAGAGCAGCTAGCACTGTTATTGTCTGAGTCATCTCTCCAGCCCCTCAGGTACTGTTCTTCCTCAAGCACCCTCTACTTTGTGTTTTAAACTCAAGGTGTAAGAGCCTAGCTGGGTGATATCATTGGTCAGCTTGCTCAGTTCCCATTAAATTGCTCATTGTCCAGGCCAGGTTGTAAGACTTGTGAATCCTCAATTCAATAAGGTTGCCTGACCAGTAAACTCCAAGGATCCTCCTGGTTACTCCTCCTAGAGCTAGGATTACAAATGTGCACCACTGTACCCGACTTTTTACATGGGTGCTAGAGATCAAACTCTAGGCCTGATGCAAGCACTTTACTAAGCTGTATGCCTAGCCTGGCTTAGGAAACGGGCATACGTTTCCATGCATCTGTAGATGGAGAGGGGCTGCAGGAATGAAATGTAGGGCTTTCGTTTTTATTTCATGGGGTTGTGACTTACAGCATAGGAGATACTTACAGAGCCTCACAATACTTACTCATGGATGTGGTGGACAGGATCTGGTGTGTATAACCTGCAGAGATAGTAAGAGTGAGAATGGAGTAGGGTGAGGAAGTAGAGACTGAGAGGGGAGAATGAATGCTGTGTAATAGAGCACGTCTGGCCACTGCTCACCATTGATGTAAAGGCTGTTGTGGTCTAAGATGTAAGGGCCCAGCTCACTGATATCGTTGGTCAGCTCACTCAGTTCCCAGTACACCTGCTCATTGTCCAGCTCAGATCCAGTGGGGTCTGGATGGTGAGTACAGATAGCATCTACTCCTGTGGCTGCTTTGTCTTTCTCAGGCCTGAGAAGGATAGGTAAGAAGAATGATGATATAGAGATTGCCTAGAAAGCATCTAAAGATGATGGGGGCAGGAGAGGAAGAAGCCAGGGGGAGATAGGATGACTGGTATAGAGGTGATGCATCAGGCTTAGAGCCTCTGAGTGTATTGACTTCCGGGAGCCTGTGAGCCTGAGCAGACATGGAGGAAAGATTTTTTTTTATTTAAATGTGTGACACTAATCTACATTATGATGGTGTGAAGAATAGAGAGTTCATATTTAAGACAGATAAGGATTTGGGAATTAAAGCAAAGGGAAATGACATTAATGTCTGTGCTGGTTAGCTTTAACCTGAACCACCCGGGAAGAAAGTTTAAATGGGGGGCGGTATCTCCACTGGGTTGACCTGTGGTCACGTCTGTGGGGGCTGGTCTTAATGAAGCTAATTAAGGTGGGAATACCTAGCCCTTTGTGGTCAGCACCATACCCTAGGCAGCAGATCCTGAACTGTGTAAGAGTGGAGAAGTTAAGCTGAGTGCAGGCAAGAGAGCATTCCTCTTTAGTTCTCTGTATTCTCGATTGTGGGTGTGGTGTGTCTGTCTCAATCATCAGCTGCTGGGACTTGCCTGAAAGTAGCTACAAACTATCACTTCAAAGTTTTAGCTAAAATAAACCATTTCTCCTCTAAGTTGCTTTTGGTTGAGGTGTTTTATCACAGTGACAGAAATGAAACTAGAACAGTATCTCAAGAGAAATTCTGGGGGTAGAATTTAAAGCTCCTTTTGTTCCTCAATGAGGGGATGGAGGTGGGAATTCAGAATGGATGAATAGGAAAAGGCCGTCGACCTGTGGATGGTCTGCAGGCTGTGGGGGTGACTGAAGTGGCAGTTGTAGGGTGAGGGGACATCTTGGATGTTGGATCCAGTGCTTCCTAAATTCCACACAGTAATGCACAGACAGGAGAAAAGGCAGGAATCCCAGCACACTTTGGGCCTGGGACACATCCAGGATCTCTACCTTCTTTTTATTAGGACTCACCTGAGTGAGATCAGTCTGCAGCCAGAATACAGGACGCTAATACTCGTCTTATTGAACAAAGACCAGAGCTGTGGAGAAAGGGGAGAAGGCTGTGAATACAAGAACTAAGAGAATACAAGCTGTTTTCTGAGATGTATAGAGCTAGTATCTGTGAGCAAAGCTGGGATCTATGGAACAAGGTTGAGGTTGGTGTGGCCTTCTTGCAGAGTATGGTCTAATTCATAGGCATGTCTTACATATGTGGGAAATTCCACATGTACTGAACAGAGCTCTTACCAGTCTCTGTAGGATTCTCTCAGTGGAATTGAACTTCCAGGACCCAGGGTGACGCATGCTGTCCTCATACTTGAGGTTAGTGATGGTGAAGTTGATGGTGAAAGGCACCAGAGGAGAGATTGGCACTACAGTGGGGAGTGGGAGAAAGACACACTGAGCTGCTGTTTCCTCTGTGAATGTGGCTCTCTTCCAGCACTAGAGTCTGGATCACAGCTTCCCCAGGGATGAGAGTGGGACCAGCATCACCTGTCATGTATCAAGCATGAGTAGAATTTCTCTGTGGGGTTTAGTACACCATGGTGCATAAACTAAACACACCAGACTCTGTGTTGATAAAATTCTAACATGCATCTTTATTTTCTGAGTTTTCCTTTAACCCAATTTGTTTTTCTGCAACTCATGTATATATTCTCTGTCTCTGTCTCTCTTTCTCTCCTTTTATAAAGGACTCAGCCAAATCACTTGCTTGATGATCTGGGTTTGATACCCAAGTTCCACTATCCCCCTACCCCACCCCATCCCATCCCACGCCCACCCCACTCCACTCCCACCCCATCCCACCCCACTCCCACCCCACCCTATCCCCACCCCTCCGCCACAAAGTTCACAGATCTTAGGGTGCCACACTCAGGTACATTCAGAGCACTACCAGTAGTGAAATTCCATATACTTGGTACACCTGAAACTAGATGTGCCCTCTCTTCCTGATTTGCTCCATACCTAAGAGTCACATATTCCTTCCTGGAAATGTAAGGTCCCTCTCTTCCCTCGCCCTGCTGCCCATCCAGCAATCAGAGGCAGCCTGACTACATGAAACCACTTTCTTCCTCTGAGATCTATAAGAAAGGATCCTCACGGTGCTTCATGGGCTTGATCTCACCTCAGACACACTACAGTTCTGTCTGTCCATGGGACTAATTACTCTTCTAATGTATCTCTTACCCCAAATCACAGTCTGCCTCAGTGTTCTCCTTGAACCTCAAGCCCTAGCACTTTCAGTGATGGAAAACAAGAGAATAGAATAAGCTAAGAATGGTGTCTGTTCTTTCAGAACCTCTAGCAGAGCCCCTCAAGCTATGAGAAGGCTGTGTATAGGATGCTGCACCTCAGCTGAAGTAGAGCCAGCCCATGCTAGATGACATTGTATTTCTCAGGTCTATGCATACAGTATGTTGTTCTCATTTTTGCTCAGCTGAAAACTAAGGGGCTGTGGAGATGGCTCAGTCAGTCCAGTGCTTGTCTCACAATCACGAGGGCCTGATTTCAGATCTTCAGTACCTATGCAGAAAGTTGGGTGTGGAGCTACACTACACATCTGTAATCCCAGCACTTGGAAGGCAGAGACAGGAGGATCTCTGGAGCTCCTTGGCCAGATGAATTGGTGAGCTACAGGTCAGTTGGAGACACTATCTCAAAAATTAAGGTGGAGAGCCTATGGGAAAATACCCATTATTGATCTTTGGCATCCATATGCATATGTATGCATGTACAAACATCTGTGCAACACACACACACACACACACACACACACACACACACTAAGAATGTGGGGGGCCAGACTGATCTGACTGATCCAGGTCTTTCTCAGAGTCCTTGATGAAAGGACAGAAGAAACTTTAGTTCTGTGTCCTTGTCCAGGAATGGACTTGGCAAGGCCAGTCTGATGCTGGAGTCAGTTCCTTGGAGGAGTTGAGGCTGTGGTTTCTAGGGACCTGACTTCTTTTTCTGGGCTGTAGTAATCAGTCCTAAGGCAGTTGTATCTGTGAAATATCCTGTTTTCTCTTTGCCAACATTATCTGACTTAGCTCTCTGTTGAGCTGGGCCATTTACCCCCTTGGAAACAGTATATATAATGCTGACTTCTTAATAAAGTTACTTGGCATAAGTCATCAGGTTATGCAAAATTTCTTTTGTCTTTTTGTCTTCTTATTTCTTGTCTTCTTTATTTCTCATTTCTGGTTCTCTAATTCAACACTTTATTGTTCAAGACCCTTATCCCTGCTGAATCAGGTCATTAGAAAAGTAAGGAGAGAGAAGCTGTCTATGTTCCTGTGGGTCCCACACTAAGGTCATCTGTGGCAGCATTCCTGCTGGACTACTCCTGGCCTGGCTCCAGGGTGTAGCACCTAGCCCTAATCCATCTTTTGTTTAGAGATGCCCTTTATTTCTCTTGTTGCCCTATGTGAATCTTGTCTGAGAGTTTCCCAAGGACAGAGAGCCTATGCAAAAGTTGGTTTGGGGAAACCTGGAGAAATGTGGTACCTGATGAATTGAGAAATTTGCACTTGGTATTGCATTTTTAGAAGCTTCTTTCAGTTTGTTTTGAACATATCAAAATCAACTTGCTAAAGTGTAAATATGGAGAAAAATAAAAATGCCCCGGGTGAAAGGAAAGTCCTTAGAGGCTGGATCCCCCTGTAGATGGAAAAGGGTAGATTCATTCTTCAGGTGCCTCTGAGTCTTCATTCTATGGACCCATGTGAACACACCAGCACCATGACAGTCATCTATTTTAATTGAGCACTTACCTGTATGGTCCTACCTTCCTTCTGTCTGCCCTGCTGTCTGTCCTCCATAGTCTAGAGCCCATACTATTTTGTTTATGTCACATCATCAGGGCATTTAACACAGTAAGTGCTTAATAAATACTTCTTGAATGAACAAATAAATAAATGAATGAATGAAGCCTCAGGGCTTTGCCGATGTACCACTGTCATAGGACATTAGAAGTTTGTAGTAGGTATCACACTTTCCTATGCCTCCCCAGTGCTAAGATTACAATACGTACCGCCATGCCCAGCTTTTATGTGCATGGTGGGAATTGAACTCAGGTCCTCATGCCTGTATAGCAAGCACTTCACCAACTGAGCCTTTTTACCAGACCTGTAGAAAGGTACCTAAAGTGGAGCTCATACCTGAAGACTCCAAGACACGAGTTGTACTTATTGCTGGGATACTAGTAGAAAGTCATAGCAATTAGGTGAAAATTATAATGAATCAAAAAAAGAAGGCTTCCCTAGGCACGGGCTGCTCCTCATAAGAACTTAAAATCATTTTTCACTGCCTGAATCTGTTCTGGGAGTATCTTTTCTAAGTCAGGAAATAAAGATGCAGATGAGGAAAACTTAGGCTATTTTGGCTCCTTCCCTTTCTAGGGATGCGGGGTAGGGGATAAAAAAAAGGTGAAATGATACTTGTGTCCAAATTACTTACTGCTAGTGGTTGAGGTCAGGAACCAATGGTTATAACCTACATAAAGAAAAAGAACAAAAGTTAATAGTCAAGGAATGAGGAATGAAAAATGTTGCAACAGCCTGGAATCAATGAGCGAGTATCTAAGGCCTTGTACATGCTAGGGAATTGTTCTGCCACTTATCTAGATCCCTAGATCACCTCTACTTGGTTAAGTCAGAGTCCCACCTTATAGCCCAAAGAGACCTTGAACTCACAATGTTTCTGCTTACAGTTCTCTTAAGTGGCTGAGATCACAGGTATGTATCATCATATACAAGTGGCTGGGATACAGGTAAGTGTTGCCTGGCCTAAGTTGGATTTATTTTTAAGTCATATTTACCCAATGCTCTCAAAATACAAATCCTGGGGACTGTATGTAAAAATCAGAGATCAATAGTAGAGTACTTGCCTAGCATACATAAAGCTCTGGGTTTGAACCCCAACAAAACACACACACACACACACACACACACACACACACACACACACACACACACACACACACACACCACAAATAGAGACTTTGTAGACAAAACCCAGAAAATATAATTAGACCATAAAGAAGAAATTCTTTATCAGGTTGTCTACAGTTGACCTCACTACCATGTCCATCCCTGGCTACCTATATCTAGTCTCTCCTATATTTCCACACAAGTGATTGTCTTTCTCTCCCCCTTTCTTTCCCTTCCTCCTCTCCTCCCTCTCCTCCTCCCCTCTCTCTGTCTCCCCTTTCTCTCTCTCTCTCTCTCTCTCTCTCTCTCTCTCTCTCTCTCTCTGTATGTGTGTGTGTGGTCCAGAGTATAGACTGTACAATGAACTCCCTGGGGAAGGCAGTTTGCAGCTGCTCACCCACTCACCATTGACATAAAGGCTGCTCTTGTCCAGGGTCATAAAGTCTAGCTGGGTGATTCCATGGGTCTCACGACTCAGCTCCCAGTACAGCTGCTTTGGGTCTAGCCCCATGCCTGTGGGCTCAGATTGATGGGTACAGATCATGTTCACTCCAGTGGCTGATCCATCCTTCTCAGGCCTGAGTACAGGGAGATATAGGGATGAGAATAAATTCAAAATGGATGATGAGGATAGCTTATAAGATTATGTCTGAGGGCTAGAGATATGGCCCAATAAGTTAATGATGCTGCTCTTGCAGAGAACCTGAATTTGGTTACCAGTGTATCTGTGTTGGATAGCTCACAATCCCTGTGTCTGCAGCTCCAGGGTATCTGACATCTTCTGTCTTCCAGGAGCACCTACATGCAGGTACGCATGCTCACATATAGACATACACTTACATATGAATATAAATATAAGCAAAAATAAAATTCTTTTTTTTTTTTTTTAAAAAAAAAGAATAATCATGTCAGAAAATACCACAAGAGTGCTGGGCAGATGGTTGTGTCAGTAACTTCTTGCCTTGCAAGCATTAGCAGCTGAGCTCAATCCTAGACTCCATGTTAAAAAGCTGAGTGTGGTGTATGCATTTGTAAGTCCCATGCTAGCGATGTGAAACAGATAGATCTCGAAGGCTCACTGTCAACCTACTATACTGAAAAGTTCCAAGACAATGAGAGACTGCAAAACCAAAATGAAACAAACCAACCAAACATAAACAACAAAAACAAGGTGGTGAGACCAGAGGGACAATAACTGAGGTTGACCTCCAACCTCCATAAGCATGTGCACATAGATACGTGTACAACCATCCGTGTACACACACACACACACACACACACACACACACACACACACACACACACCACAGAGATAAAGTTAGCATTTGTGCAAGGTAATCTAGAATTTGTAAACAGTCATTGGACAAAGAAGGCAAACTGGGATTAGAGGTGGCAGAATGCTTATTCATCATGTACATTCAAGTTGAGCATCTCTTATTTGAAATGCTTAGGGCTACAGTTTTTTTTTTCCCTCAGATGTCAGAGCTTTTAAGACTTTGAAATATTTGCACAGAATTTTACCAATTTTGCATCTTTAATATGAAATTTAAATTCTCTAATTTCCAAAAAATTTTGAATGTCAAAATTTTTGACACTGGAAATTCTAGCGCTAAGCACATGGCTCAGTGAGCAAGAGCACTTGCTCCACAAGCATGAAGACCCAAGTTCATATCCCAGCAGCCACAACCACATCTGGACATGACAGTGCATATGTCTAATCCCAGAGCTGAGGGAGTGACCCCTGAATCTCATTGGCCAGCCAGTGTGGATGAAATGGTGAGCTTCAGGATTACTGAGAGACTGTCTCAAAAATATAAGGTAGAGAAACAACAAAGGACAGACATGTCAACCTTGGGCTAAAGACACCCAGACAAGCAATATACCTGCACACACTCTCTCATACCACACACACATGCACACACACACACACACAGAGAGAGAGAGAGAGAGAGAGAGAGAGAGAGAGAGAGAGAGAGAATTCTGGAGCTGTGAGCATTTTAGATTTAGAAATGTTTAACTTGTACCAGCCTCCTACAATATTTAATCCATCATCTCAGGATAAGCTTAAGAAACAAATAGGTGATTCAGCTTGACGACCTTGCAAATAACGTGGTTGTATCATTTCTTAGTACTTCCTTTTTGTCTTAGCACACAAAATTATTCAGCCCCCTTGAGCACTTTCAATGGGGCTTAAGAAATGAACATGTAAAGCAATCAGATAACTCATTGGAGAAGAGTGCATATAGCATAACCTTAACAACATAAGCTGTAAACACTGGATATAGTTGTTTGCAGCTGTGATTCCAGCATGAGCAATGACATGGAGATATGGGAGGCAAAGATGTGAGAATCAGCTGAAAGTTTGCATTTGCAGCCCAGAGGAAAAAATAACAAGAGAGACTGACTCATAAACAAGGTGGAAGGTAGGCAATGACTCCCAATAAGTTGTCATCTCACTGCTGCACACACATGCATCCACATGGTCAGACACACGTGACTCTACACACACACACACACACACACACACACACACACACACACACACACACACAGAGTCAAATAAAAATAAATCTTTAAAAAAGAGAGGTGAGCATACCACAGAAACTATTCTGTTTGGATTTATACATTTTCTTGAATGGAGAATAATTTTGAACATTGCTGAGAAATTATTTCTGGGGTTATATTATACACCTTGGTTAGGTGTATAGTATAGATCAGAGGATGAGAACTGTGGAGAAGATTCAGTAGAAAGAGTATTCCCAGTACTCAGTGTGGCTTTGATGGGCAAGTGGGGAACAGGGAGAGTCAGGAATGTGGGAAGCATAGGAGTGTAAGCACACATTCTTAGACATCTTACGTGAGCAAGGTCAGCTGGCACCCAGAGTACAGTGGACCAATGGTGGTATTCTTGAACACAGCAGCAAGCTGGAGAGGAAGGAGAGAGAAAAGCATAAGAGATTTGGGGGTGATTAAGAGGGAGAAGTGGGAGGCCATTATATAAGGGCTCTTACCAGGTGCTGCAGGACTATCTCCGTTTTGTTGAACTTTAAGGATCCGGGGTGTTTCATAACTGGTGTGTAGTGTAGATTTGTGATGGTGAAGTTGAGGGTAAAAGGCACCAGGGAATGGGTCACGGCTGCAAAGCAGAAAAGCAGAGAAGAGAACATCTGTCTTCAGCTTGTATGAGATCCTTGTCTTGCCCTTTGTATAGCCTGCACCAGTCCTGCCAAAGGGAGACTCTTATTCTCTCTGTCAGAGGACTCCACTCAATTGGTCCTTGAGCCAATGCAGATAGGAATGTAGGAAAGTATACTTCCTGTGTGTGTGTGTGTGTGTGTGTGTGTGTGTGTGTGTGTGTGTATGTGTGTTTGTGTGTGTGTGTAAGAGAGAGAGGAGAGGGGAGGGGGTCCTACAACCTTTACCAACTGCTCAATTGGTTCTTGAACCAGAGCAGACATGGACCATATTAAGTTATATGTGACTGCTCTTTATTGTGTCTGTGTTCATATACATGGGAATGTGTGTGCCTGTGTATATTACATATGTATGGTGTGTGTACATGTTTGTGTGTATGTGTGTATGTGAGTGTGTGTGTATGTCTGGGTGTGTGTGGTGGGGGGAGGACATCCTTGGATGTCATTCCTTGAACACTGTCTATCCCCTTCTATTATTCTTTTGAGATAAGTCTCTTTAGCCTAGATCTCACCAAATCAACTGGTCTATCTAGCCAGATAGCACCAGGAGCCTACCTATCCTATCTCTGAAGCACGGAGATTACAAGTGAGCACATGAGTTCTGGGAATAGAACTTAGATCCTCATATTTGTAAAGCAAGCACAAGCATTTCATCAATGACCTATCTCTCTAGCCCCACTGATTGCAATTTTATTTTCTTCCTTTCTTCAATAAATGTGTATTTCCTACAAGGAATAACATAGCCAATATTTCTGGTTAGTAAAATAGAATAAATGTCTGATATTTAATTATAAAAGAACCCCAACAATAACAATAAAACCAACTCCCTGAAGGAGGGATGCAAATATTAGGAAATCAATCCTAAAGATCTGGAAGACAAAGGGGCAAAGCATTGTCATGTCAGAGAGTATCAGGAACCCACGGAGGAAACACAGCCCTCACTGTCAATAATGAATGAAGGAGAAAGAGAATTGGTGAGAGAGACCCTTGCTGACCTCTCTACCACTGTTCTACCAATGCCTTCTCTTGGTGAAACTAATAGGAAGCTATGAATAAGGAAGGGAGGAAAGAAAGGAAAGGGAGAAAGAAAGAAGGAAAGGAAGGAAGGGAGGGAAGGATGGATGGAGGGGGGAGGAAGGAAGGAAGGAAGGGAGAAAGGAAAGAAGTAAGGAAGGAAGAAGGAAAAGGGTGAAGTCAGGAAGGGAAGAACGGAGGAAGAAAGAAAAATGAAGTATGAGAGGGGAAAAGAAAGAGGGTAGAAAAGGAAAAGGAAGGGAAGAGAGAGGAAGGAAGCAAAAGGAAAGGGAGGGAGGGAGAAAGAGTGAGGTTGGGAAGAAGGAAGGGAGAAAGGGGGAGAGAGAGGGAAGAAAAAAGAAAGGAATGGTCATTGAGAGGTATATATAGGGAGTAATGTGTTTTGTTTCATCACATTTATTTTAATTTTGTATGTATGGGTGCTTTGCATATGTGCAAGTCTGTGGACCACATGCATGTGGTGCCTGTAGGCGTCAGAAGAGGGAACCAGAAGGCCTGGGACTGGAGTTACAGATGGTGGGAAGCTGCCATGTGGGTGATGGGAATGGAATCCGCTCTGCAAGACTCCTCAGTGCTCTTAAATGCTGAGCCATCTCCCCAGCCCCAAATGTGAATCTTGTAATAATAACAAGGAATTACAGAAATATTTCATCTAGAAAAGTAATATACTCTGTTATTATGTTTTAAATTAATGAACTTTCTTGAGCCAGAATCTTATTATGTAGTCCATAGTGGCCTTGAACTCAGATCCTCCTGTCTCAGCCTTCCAAGTGCTGGGATTTCAGGTGTGGGACACCATACCCAGGTTACTGATACACATTTAAAAATCTTCCTGTGGTTGGTATGTGGTAAACAGAGGGGAAAATAGCAGCAGAGAAATTCCAGGAAAACATTTCTGGTGTCTAAGTAAGAGGTATTAGTGGCCTGGATGACAGGTGGAGTGAGGGTGAAGAAAACAACGAACCCAAATTGATATGTTCTAGACCAAGCGTTCTGATGGGTGGAAAGTAGAGTGACAGAAGGAAAGAGGCCAGGATGCTCTTAAGATGTCTTATTTTAGTAATTAATTCCTTTTCTTAGATTGTAATCCCACCAACTCTATGGCAATGACTGTTTTCCTCACTGCTATCCCTCAAGTTATTGCCTGGTACTCAACAAAGCCATCAAATGTCCTTCTGTACAACAAGTGTCTATTATATCAATTTCCATCTCTTTTGTATCTATAATCATTCCTTTCTTAATAATAAAAATATCACCAGTGAAGTAGCCCTATAAGCAGTTTTACATCCTCATAAAGAATACTGTACTGTCTAGTTTTTGTCAACTTAACAAAAATAGTGCCACTTTGGAAGAGGAAATCTCAATTGAGAAATTGCCTCTGTCTTAGGGTTTCTATTGCTGTGAAGGGACACTATGACCATGGCAACTCTTATAAAGTAAAACATTTAATGGAGTGGCTTACAGTTCAGAGGTTCTGTCCATTATCATCATGGTGGGACCTGGCAGCATGCAGGCAGGTATGGGGCTTGAGCCGAGAGTTCTGCATCTTCATAGGCAGGTAGCCGGAAGTGAACTAAGACACTGGGCATGGCTTGAACATATATGCAACCTCAAAGCCCTCCTCCACAGTGACACACTTCCTTCAACAAGGCCATACCTACTCCAAAAAAGTCACACCTCCTAATAATGGCACTGCCTATGAGCTTATGGGGGCCAATTACATTCAAACTACCACAGCTTCCATCTGCTTAGTCTGTGGCCATGTCTGTGGGACATTTTCTTGATTAATGCTTGATGTAGGAGGGCCCACCCTACTGTGTGTGGTGCCACCACTACACAGGTGGATTTTGGTTGTATAAGAAAGCAATCCTGTAAGTAGCATTTTTATGTGACCTCTGTTAGCCCTTTGTTTCTAGTTTCCACGTTTGCATTGTGCAGATTGAGTATCTGTTTGAAAAACTGAATTTGTATCAGATATATACTGTTTACTTTTTTATCATTATTCCCTGAACAATACCATATAACATTCTCCTAGTATTAGTTATTATATGTTATCTAGAGAAACTATAAAATATACTGGATAATGTACGAAGTTTACATTCAAATGCTTTGCCATTTTACATAAGAAACATAAGCAACTTTTGATTTTGGTGTGTGTAAAGGGACCTCAAAAAATAACCTATGGAGCAATAGACAATTTGACTTCTCCTGCTTAGGGTTGACCATGTATTAGGTCTTGGATGAACTCAACTTTTTTTAAAATAATTTTTTATTTAAATTTTTTCTTTTTTCCTTTTACATACCAACCCTGTTCTCTCTCCTCTCTCTTCTTCTGCTCGCCGCCCCCACCTACCCCCATTCCACCCCCATTCCCTCCTCATAGAGGGTAAGGTCTCCCTTGGGTAGTCAACACAGGCTGGCATACCAAGTTGGGGCTGGACCTAGCCACTCCCCACAGCATCAAGGCTGAGTAAGGCATTGCACCATAGGGAATGAGCTCTAAAAAGCCAGTTTGTGTACCCGGGGCAAGTCCTGTTCCCATTGCCAAGGGACCCACAAACACATCAAGTCATGCAACTTTCACCCACATTCAGAGGGCCTAGTTTGGTGAACTCAACTCTTAAGCCAGCTAAATCTAGAGATTGCACTATTAATTTCAATACCTCTGAGCTTTTCCTTTATATATATGGTGGATAGGTTCTTATAAGATCCAAGGCCTAGGTTGTGACATTTTGATCAATAGGTCACTGTAGTACAGAATTACAAAGTCATTGAGTAGAAATAATGTATGTTTTTCTTTGGCTGTTGGCCAGAGAAAGCAGGGAACTGGCTGAAATCACATCTCATGACCCAGATGAGCTTATGCTAAGCCTTGAATATCACAGATATCTCACAGGAAAATTATAAAATTTCTCACATGTCAGAGAATCCTAGACTATCTTACAACCAAAATGGATTAGAAGTAACTTCCTCAGGTATTTGGGTGGTGAGGATTCTGGGGCTACTTTAAACATAGAATGAGTGGATACTATTATCAATTAGTAATTTCTACCAGGAAGAGGGCTTACTATAGGTAGAAATGGATACTATTACCAGATGGTGATATCTACCACAAAAGAGGGCTTGTTACAGATACCTGCTACTATCAACTGGTGATGTCTATCATGGAAGAGGCCTTGTTTCAGTGCAAATGAATGCCATTATCAACTGGTGACATTTACTGTGGAAGAAGGGTTGGTATAAGTGCTACATGGCTGTATAGAGGAAATCTGAGAATGACTGTAGATTTGAACCAGTAAAAGGAAGGGATGTTTCCATACTTTTCTAGAAACATACTTCATTCCTTCTTTTCTTGAAGGAATGAGTACATTTCTTGTAGCATACCATGCATAAGGCATTGTGTTACCAAAAGCAAAACAGATTTGCTCAATATCAGAGTTAACTGTAGTAAAGATATTATTCAAAAGTAGAGAAAATATAAGAATTTATGCTAAATTTATTCCTCAAAGTCAACCCAGAAATTAAAAGTGAATACTGCTTGATTTGCCTAAGTGAAGCTAAGTCACATACAACAGAGATACCTGCATGTCTTTGTTTATTCCAGAACTATTCATAAAATCCAGGAAAAAGAATTAGCCCATGTAACCTTCAACACATGTATGGAAAAAGAAAATCTGGTATATAGACACAATTGAATGTTATCCTACTATAAAGAAGAATGAAATATGACATTTGCAAAAAATGGGTGGAACTGTACAGCATCATGTTAAGTAAAGCAATCCATTCAAAAAGACTAATATCATGCATTTTATCTTATATGCAGAATCTAGATTTAAAAATAAAGTTTAAAATTTGTCAAATAAAAAGACTATTTTGGAAGAGGAAGGAGACCAGGGAGAGGAGAGCAGAGGACAAGAGAATGAAAGGTGAGTATGAGAAAAGTACACTATATATATATGTATGGAAATGTCATAATGAAACAATCTTATATAATTAGTATATGCTGACTAGAAAATGAGTGATAAAAGTGTTTCTATACTTCTCTTGCCTGTAAAGCTTGTTTAAAAAGGATATAAAATACAACTAGTTAGGTTCATAGTATAAAAATGAACAACATTCAGTATTTAGGTCAGATATTATCTTTCAACTTTGTGGTCAACATCATCCTCATCTTCATCATCTTTTTTGCCATCACTGTTTTTATAGACATCACTTCCATCATTATCATCACACATCATCATAATCAACATTGTCATCATTGCTATAGCATCATCAACACCATTATTATAATCAACATTGTCATCATTGCTATAGCACCATTATTATAATCAATAACATAACCACCATAATCAATGCCATCATTAAAACTACCACCACCATTACCCTTAACACTGTCAGCACTAACACTATTATCAATACCACCAATACAATCATCTCCACAACCTAAATTCTTCTATCCAATATTTTCTGCTGCTCACACTCAAGAAAACTCTAGGGAGCTGTGGGACGGTGGGTAAACGCCCCACAACCACCATCATTTTCATCACCTCTACCACCACTAAACATGGTGATCCTACTATAACCAAACATTACTATCTTCATCAATATCATCAACACCATTACTACCAACACCATTAACTTTGTCTTTAATATCACCATTGTTAGCATCACTACCACCACCATTATTAACATTATCACTACCAACACCATCATCTTCATTACCATCATCATCAACATCATCAGCATTAATAGGATCATCACCATCATCATTAACACTACCACCACCACCATCATATCACTGTCATCCAACACTATCTTCACTATCATCAGCATCACCAATATCACCATTGCAGCTATCACCAGCATCATCAAATATATCTTCATCATTATCAACACTAGCTTAATAATAATCAGTACATCATCACTGTCACAATTATTAACACTTTTACCACCACCACTATAATCATTAATATCATCAACATGATTACTTCTATCAACACTGTGAATAACACCACTTCTGTTAACACTATGAATATCAACATCAGCACCATTAGAAGTCCCATAAAACGATGAATTCTAAGGGCACTTTTTTGTGTTTCCTGCTATGTATCCCACTGTCTGGCACAGATTAGGTGCTTAATGAAGGTTGTTGGTTGATGAAATTGCTATATTTACTGTGACAGCTTATCTTTCAGTACATATATTAGAGGTATTGATACTTTTCATGCTCCTTCTAACATAGATGCCACAAACTGGTACTTACCTGTGGTTCTGGGGAAGGAGTGAGCCTCAGAGGTTCCCAGGTTTACTGTGGTAGTCCCAGGAGCTAAAAAGAAACCACCATTAGTGAAAAAGCAAGGCACTCTCATAGCAGAAACACCAGAAAAGATTAATGTAACTTTTTGCACAGAAAGCTTGAATTGGGACTGTCTTGGAAGTGCAGACAGAAAAGGAGGTAAATAACTGCCCTCTCAGATCCCTTGCTCCAGTCAAAGAACATGGGAGGCATTAGGAGGGGTCAGCTCCTGCTTTACTTGGTGTAAGATGGGGAGTCACTGGAACATCTGTTGAATACTCAGTGCTGGTGATAAGCGCAGAGCTCTGATGGGTGAAACCTGCAGTAACAACAGAGGATAAAATAGTGTCAGGGTTGAGAGAGAGAGATGTACTGTTGTGGTTTGATCACAAAATGGCATTCACAGGCCCTAGTGTTCAAACAATTGTTCCTAATCTGATGGCACAGTTTTGGGAGGCTGTGAAATCTCAGGAACATGAGACCTAGTCATAAACCATCAATGGTGGGCTTTTAAAGACATACTGCCCTGGGTTCAATTTAGAGTCTGTGCTTTCTGATCTGCAATAAGCAGTCATGAGCTGGCACTGCTATGAGAGGAACTGTTTCAACCACCTTCCCTCCATAATAGATTGTCCCTTACAAAGCTACGAGCACAAATAAACACATCTTTACTTAAGTTGCTTCTCTTGGGTATCTATAATGAGAAAAGTAACTGATAGAAATACTAGAGAGGGGCTGGAGAGATGGCTCAGAGGTTAAGAGCACTGGCCGCTCTTCCTGAGGTCCTGAGTTCAATTCCCAGCAACCACATGGTGGCTCACAACCATCTGTAATGAGATCTGGTGCCCTCTTCTGGTGTGTAGGCAGAATACTGTATACATAATAAATAAATAAATCTTCAAAAAAATTCTCGAAAAAAATACTAGAGAGACTTAAAGATATATAATGGATTGGGGTTCATGAAGTAAGGCCTATCAGAGATTCTCTATTGGATAAGAGTGAGGTCAGTTCAAACTAAGGAACAGATGAGATCCCAATTTGAGTCAGCACCTATTGAGCACATGGCTAGTCTCTTAAGAGCCAGGCAGGGGTGTGTGTGACCAAAGCCAGAGAGTAGATGCTGCCAATCTAAGAAGAAACTTCAGCCACATCCAGATGCTTACCATTGACATAGAGGCTGTCCCTGTCCAGGGTGTAGGGATCCAATCTGGTGACACTATGAGTCAACCTACTCAGCTCCCAGTATAGCTGCTCCCTGTTCAATCTGTGGCCTTTGGGGTCAGGGTGATATGTGCAGATGGCATCCACTTTGGTGGCTGTTCCATCCTTCTTAGACCTGGGTAAGTATAGAACATAGTTGAGGTAGCTCTGCCTCCCACTGTTTCTTCTTTCCTCTCTCTTTCTGCCAGCCCCTAACTCAAAAAATTAAGATATTCTAATCAACAGAAGAGATGGTCTTAACATCATGCTTCAGAGAGCTCACATTCAGAAGTCTAATGTTAGTTACCTCAGGTCCTATGGAACACTAGGGTCTGGGGATTTCTAGGAATAATCACAGCTCTTACATTGTTGAGGAGAAATGCCTATTTTGGGGTCTGTTTGAAACAATTGCTGATTCATTTTGACATAAGAAGGCCTCAATGCCTTACCATTGTATGTGTGTGTGTGTGGGGGGGGGCATGTGTGCATGCATGCATGCTATTAGAAAAGGAACTCAACCTCATGCTCTCAGATTCCAAGCATGTACTCTATGTTTCATGTATATTTCAGCCCCTCACTAGTGAATTCTATGCAGGCATTCTGTTGCTGAGCAACATCTCCAGCTTTTCCTTTTAAAATTTTTTTTAAAAATTTTATTATATTTTTGATACAAGATTTCAGTAATTTTTCTAGGCTGGGCTTGAACTTGCTATCTCTGAGACTGTTTCCTGTGCAGCTTTATAAAGCTCTTACTGAAGTAACCTCTTGGGTAGCAGGATGATAGACTTGCCCAATCAGCATTAGCTGCAAAGTACTGATCCAGCTAACCAGACAGGGAATGAAGTGCTCTCGTGCCCCATGGCTGTGACTTCATTTTTTTTCAAGTGTAATAGTAATCATTTACTCAACATTCCCCGCCCCCAGCCCTTTGTATTCATAACTGTGATGCAGGAGAAACTTAAAGCAATAAAATTGATGTTATAAAAGATTTACTAATAAACTTGCTTAGAAAATATTGTTGCATAATGTAGAATTTAACTAAATGAAAGCTGCCTCTATATCACTGGATAATAAATAATGTACTAATGAAAGTTTCTAGGAATTGCTGGAAAGAAAATTTTGTACTATAATTGAAATTGAGGGTTGCTGAGAAAATGCTTCTGCTAATGCTTGCTTATCTAGACTGATCTCCAAATAGGTTCCATTCCCACGACAAAGGAGACAACCTTGTGTAGCATGAATCTTAAAAGTTCTTATTAATAAAAACAAACCTGAGCCAGGCATTGGGTTAAAGCTGAAAGATCAGAGAAGCAGAACAAGCCACAGCCACCTCACCTTGCCCATTCCTCAGCCAATCCTGTTTCCTCAGATTGGAAGCTCTGAGTCCTCATCCAGAATGAATCTCAGCTGAACTGTTGCTCAAAAGCCTAAAACCTTAAGCAGCCCTAGTTCCTGGTTTTCATGCCTTATATACACCTTTCTGCTTTCTGCCATCACTTTCTGGGATTAAAGGCTCTTGTTACCACACCTGGCTGTTTCCAGTATGGCCTTGAACTCACAGAGTTCCAGGTGGATTTCTGCCTCTGGGATGGTAGGATTAAAGGCATGTGTGCCACCATTTTCTGGCCTCTGTATCTAGTGGCTGTTCTGTTCTCTGACCCCAGATAAGTTTATTAGGGTGTACAATATTTTGGGAAACACATTATCACTACAACCTTGACTCATAATTAGCCATTAGGCACTTTCCCATGTCCAAGAATATACCTCTAATAGCATCTCAAGGGGGCAGCTCAGGCTCATAACTGCCATTAAGTCCTGGTCAGTCCCTAACTCCTTGTGCTCTTATAAGGAAAAATATAATTCTACCAGATGGGCAAGATGACCCTGGGTAGCAAGTATTTAAAAAAAAACAACACAGGTATACTTAAAAAATAATTCTCACAATGTCTTCATTGTGTAAATCTCCCATCTGCCTAAGTAGCCAGGCTTGAAGTCTCCTGTTCCTGTTTAAATTGCTCAAAGTGTAAACTGAGGCCAGGACCTAAATGGGATTTAAGGATGGCATCATATGTAGAATATACAAGCCTAAGGTCTATGTAAATTGGTAAAACTTCTGTTTGAGGCTGGTTCGCTTTTGTTCATTAGATGGAACTAGTCATGTGCTATTATTAAAGAGCATTTTTCTTTATTAATGTCTAACTTTGCAGAGTGATTTTTCATTAGGAAGGCATATTAATTCTATAACAAATAAATCATTCATCCACAGAGCAATCCTAATGGGTTGATATTGCTCAGTTCCTACAGTGATTATCAATGTGGTATGTGTAACAGCACAATTACATAAAATTTAAAATATGAAATATAGATGTATAAATATATGTAATTTAATATATAAATATTTAAGTGTTATTGTAACATAAAATATATAATTATATTATATGCTATGTTATTATGCCTATTATTTGCTGATGGAGAAGAAAACTCACACTCGCCACAGTATAGGCAAGCACTCTAACATTGAGTCATAGCCTAGCCCTACATATAACTATTTTTTTTATTTCTAGGACCTAGTGGATGCTATGCAAAAAACACTCTACCAGTGAACCATATCTTTATCCCCTACATAAATATTTTATATAAGTACTTTATAGCTTACTTATATAATTAATTACCATGATGAGTTAGTGTGTAATATGTAGTTTATATTAATGTATGTGGCATTTACAGAAGTATATCCATGTGTACACTATATATGTGTGTTTGGATCTGGTACCTGAAATGTTGTGATTATTTTGTGGGACCTGACATGAAGCATTTATCTGCACCTCAGTTTCCCTTTCTGTTCCTGTTTCATGAAGCTTTTGCTTGAATTGATGAATTATTAAATATAAAATACTATGAACTATTAATTATAAAATAGTTCAGGGGGTTGATGCTTAATAACATTTAGTTGCTGGTATTGTTGATGCTTCATAGGCAGATGATAGTGATTGTAAATACAAACAGTCAAACAGTTGGGGAGCCCATTGCCCAGTTCCACCCACCTGTTTGGCTGAATTTGTGTTGGGATAGACTCACCCGAGTGCCACCAGTGCACAGCCTGAATAGAGGGGTCCCAGACTGCTGGTCTTGAACAGGAGTTTGAGCTGTGAGAAAGGAGAGGGAAAATAAGAACGAACTACTGAGCAAAGCCAGGAGGAGCTGTGACTCAGGTAACAGGAGCAAGACCAGAGAAAGGTGAGGCTTGGATGCAATGGGCAGGCCTCTCACCAGGTGCTGGAGGACTCGCTCCAGAGTGTTGAATTTCCTGGAGCCGTGGTACAGCATGTATTCCTTGAACTCCAGGTTGGTGATGGTGAAGTTGAGGGTGAACTGGTCAATGACAGGCGTGGCCACTGCAATCAGAGGGGAAAAAAGAAGGTCATGTCTATGTCACACTTGGTCTTACCCCTAAGACAACTTCTGAGGACCAAGACAGGAAGTTTGCAACAAGAAATCAGATCATGGTGCTTAGGACAGGAAGACAAAAAACCTCAGAAGAAACAGTGCACACATTGTTTATGTATTAGCAACTATGGTACCTTTTCACTTCCAAATAGGTAGAGATTCAGGTGCAGAGTTCTCAAGAGTACAAAATGCTGATTTAAAGGAAGGATTTGAGATGATGAAAGCACAATGTTAAAATGAACTTATAAATGTGTATGTGTGAACAGAGCTAGTGAACTATGGCAGAAGTGTGCCACAGACACAGAGAAAGTACTAGTGTAGGTCTGTGAACCAGGCCAACTGGCTAGGAATTGAGGTGCAACCCTTAAAAGATCCCATCAAAAGGTAAAAAAAAAGAAGTTTCATGGTTTAGAGGAAAGGAACAGAAAAAAATGTTAATTCAAGCCTACTCAATATTTAACAAACGTTTTGAACATGAACCTAACTGCATCCCTTAGAGAAGCCTTCTCTCACCAATTCGACCCCATCTTTCTCAAAACTTGTCCTTTAATGAATACAGCACCCTGTAGAAGCTTTGTTACCATGTTTATAGGTCAATGTTGAGCAAGATTTAGTTTCAAAACATTCTGACCTTATCACTAACCATATATATGTGGACAGTCCATCACTTCCATCCACTGTAAATAAGGAGAAGCAAAATGTGTAGGGAAATTATGAAAGCTACATGACCATGTAAATAACAAAGGAGATTGCAATCAAGAGGAAAGACAGACACTGCAAGTTAGAAGCTAGTCTGGGCTGCATAGCAAGATCAGGTAACAAAATAAAAAAAGGAGGGGGACTATATGTACAGATAAGTGGTAAAATACTTGCCTAGTATGTCCCTGAGTTTGATCCCTAGCACTGAAAAAAGAAAAGGAAGAATAAAAGAAAAAAGAGAGATACAAAAATCCCTCAAGGGCATTGGAATGAGTAGGAAAAAAGCTGATCCCAAAAGTCATACCTTGTATTTTTCTATTTATGTAATGCCCTTAAAATAATATCACTACAGAGAAAACATTATTGATTGCTGGAGGTTGGATTGGTAGGAGAAAGATTTTTGTGGGGATTGAGCGGTTCTAGACCTTGATTGTGGTAGTGGCTTCATGAATCTGTTCACATGATAACTGCTATAGAAACACATATATGGACAGGTACTTATGTAACTGTCACCCAGTAAGCTCTTGGCAACCCTAGAACAGTGGTGCTCAGCCTTCCTAATGCTGTGATCCTTTACAGAGTTCCTCATATTGTGGTGATCCCCCAACCATAAAATTATTTTCATTGCTACTTCCTAACTGTAATTTTGCAACTGTTATGAATTGTAAAGATGTAAATATTTTTAGAGCTAATGATTTGTCAAAGGGGTAGTGACTCACTGGTTGCGAACTACTGCCCTAGAAGCAACTGAGAGGAAAAGTCTCCTTTGAGAATTGCCTAGGTCAGATTGGCCTGTGGGTATGTCTACAGATGGTTGATATAGGAGGGCCCATCCCACTGTGGATGACTCCATTCCCAGAGCAGGTAGTCCTGGGCTGTCTAAGAAACTTAGCTAGGTTTGAGGCTAAAACAAGCCAGCAAGCATAATTCCTCCATGGTTCCTGCCTCCAAGTTCTTGCCATGAGTTCCTACACTTATTTTCCTCAGTGATGGACTGTAACCTGGAAGCATAAGCCAAAATGAGAAGCAAAGGTACTTCTCGAAGTTGCATTTATTCAGTGTTTTATCATAGCAAAGGAGAAGTGAATTAGAACAACTAGTAAAATCTGACTGAAGTCTGTAGACTTTGATAGCGTCATTTCCTTTATTCTTATATATACCAGGGTAACATGAGGTCTAGGTATGGAGGGAAAATAGGTGAATGATATAAAGGAAGCTCATACTAATTTCCAACAGCTCTTAAATCTATTATTATTAATTCAAAACAAAAAATTAAAACATATAAAACTACACAGCATATGGTATGACACATGGGAAGGGTGAAACTTCATAAAAGTCTATCTTTTGTAGACAGGTTCTCATGTATCCTGGGCTGGTCACGGATGTTCTTGATCTTCTGATCTTCTTGTCTCTACCACTTGAATTCTAGAATAACAGGTGTGTGAGCCCACACCTAATTTTATGGGGTGCTGTGGACTGAACATAGGGCTTTATGTATGGTGGGGGGGGAGTAGTCTATTAACTGAGGACATCACTAGTGCCTCTCTTAGTGTTTTTATTAATTATAATTACATATCTTACTTCTTTACCTAATGCACTGAACCTGTGATGAACTATATGTGATTTATTCAACATTTTATCCCCTATATATAAATACAATAGAGGTGCTAAGTAAATATTTCCCGATTAAACACAGGATGTAGAGTTGCAAAAAAATGGCTCAGCAATTAAGATCACTTTCTGCTCTGTCAGAGGACCCAGAATTAGTTCACAGCACCCATATCTGGTGGCTCACAAATTCTTACAATTCCAACCACAGGGGATCTAACACTCTCTTCTGGCCTTTGTGGCCACCTGCACAAAGCATAAACTCACATAGATACATACATATTCACAAAAAATAAAATTAAAATAAATCCAACCCCCGAACTTGGGCCTGTTATTCAAGCATTCTACTACTGAGCTACAAGTGGTGGGATTAAGGAAGTGACCTTAAAAGGTCTTAGTGTAAAGTTTTAAATAAATGTATTATTTGGTAGTTGAAGAAACTGAGGCACTGAGAAGATAAACAAGTTGTCCAAGATTGATATGGATGAAAATTTGAGGGTGGTTTATCTCCTGCTCTTGAGAAATGCACAGACTTGGAAGCACCCATGAACAATCTCAGTTCTCTCAACTATCTCCAAAGTCCTATCAATGAAACTGGGAAAGTTGTCTTCTTAGAAGGAGTTGTAGAGAGAAGTGACCTACCTGTAGAGAGGTTAGGGTGTTCGGTGGAGGTCCCTGTGAAAAACAGAGAAGAGGTCACAGGTGCTGAGAAGAAATGGATTAGAGTAAAAACATGGTATTTGAAGTAGTTCATGAATGTCCAAGAGAGTATCTTTGCTCTCCAAATCAGGCCATAAATATAAATGGCAGTGGTTCTGACAGTCCAGCTTTTAATCTATTCTTTTCTTCTCCATGACCTTGGATTCAGTAGGGTATGGATCAGGTATGCTCCCACAGGGTGTGGTGAACACAATTATCAGACATTTAGGTACTCACTGTTGGGAGTGGAAGCAGAGGTTCGATGTGTAAAATCTGCAACGAGAAAAGGAAAGAATGGAGATGCAAGGACAGAAATGTTTATGATATAGCCGAGACCCATCATCACCATCTCTAGCTGAGACTTCAAGTCTATACAGTGGAACACTTAGAATCCAGATGTCATTGGCTGGGCAGTGGTGGCGCATAGCTTTAATCGCAGCTAAAGAGGCAGAGGCAGAGAAATAGTCAGGAGGATCTCTCTGAGTTCCAGGCCAGCTTGGTCTATAGAGTGAGTCCCAAGATATTCAGGGCTACACAGAGAAATGATAAACCCTGTCTCAAAGAAACCAAAACACCAAAAAAAAAGTGTCATCAAAAGAACTATCTCTATTCTCATGGACTTACAATTTAAACACAACCTAATTCTAACACATATATTTGTAAACTGTTACTTTTAAAAGTACATAGGGAGGAAAATGAAAGATTCAACTTTTTGTTTTGTTTGAGATTAAATTCTTATTTTATTTGAGTTAGAATCGTAGTCTGTAGCCCAGGCAGGTCTTGAACTCTCTATGTAACCCAGGCTGAGCACAAACTTGCAGAAAACCTTCCATCTCGCCTTTTAAGTACTTTGATTGGAAACAGGGGCTGCCTCACCTGGTAAATGCTTCTTGTTTCTGCTTCTGCTTCTTCTCCTTCATTTTACTCCCTTATTCCTCCCCTCTCCTCTTCTTCCTTATAGTACTAGAGATCAAATCATGACCCCTGAACATACCAGGCACACTCAAAGATTACAGGCATGAGCCATCACTCCCAGCTAAATATGAAGTTTCAAATGAAAGCTTCTAATGGAAGTAGGGCTCAGAGAATATGGCCTGATGCATATCAAGCATGATAGAGACATTTTAGCTCCGCATAGATATAATATAGGCAGATATTGGGTATATACCTCTAACTCCAGCACTCAGGTGAGGCTGAAATGGGAATCATCAGTTTGAAGATAGACTGGGTTATGCTGTTAGTTCTAGGACAGCCTCAGTCACATAGCAAGACTTACCTCAAAGTAAAACAAAACAACAAACAACTCTAGGCTTGAACCACTACTGAACCACCATTGACTTCAGCCAGAGATAGTTGTAGATGTGGATAGAGGAAAGCTTTTGTAGGTTAGATACATATTTAAATAATGCCTTTGTAATGCAGCAATACAGAGAAAAGAGAATGACTTGAAGACTCAAAGCTTATATGTCAGCAGCAGGTAGCAGCAGGAAGGGTCTTGTGACCAATGAGAGCGCACACTTATCTTAGGGTAACATTCTCATCTTCAGCTTATGGATCCTAAGAGGATGCTCACCATTGATGTACAGACTGTCCTTTTCTAAAGCAAAGGATCCTAGCTTGGTGACACCATGGGTATTATGACTAAATTCCCAGTACAGCTTCTCTCTGTCCAGCGTAAGGCCCGTGGGATCAGAATGGTGAGTACAGACAGCATCCACTCCAGTGGCTGTTCCATCTTTCTCAGGCCTGGGCAAGGAAATGAGACAGAGATGGAGAGATGGAAACTCCAGGTTGGGGCTCACAAAAGTTTCACTGAGGGAGAAGAGAAGTGGGGCAACTGATGAACAATTAATGACCTTCGTGGCAGAAGAAAACAATAACAGAGTCAAGGACCTTGCAAAAAGGACAGCATCTAAACATGCCAGTATCTGTGCTATCCTTTAACGTGACATCTATAACATGACTTAACATGCTGTACTAAGAAATGTGACAATGGGGGTGGGAAAAGAAGTTTGCAAATAAGGTAAAAAAAAAAAAAGCAAACAATTTCAATTGGTGTAACTCCTATTCAACCACTGAATGATGCCAGATGTTTCTCCACATCTCTGTCTCTATGCTTTATTTTTGTGTGTAAAATGAATCAACAGTTTCAGATCTGTGATGGTTAATTTTAAATGTCAACCTACCACAAGCTTGAATTGCCTGGGAAAAGTCTTAATGAAGAATTAATGATATCAGGTCAGTTTGTCACCAAGCCTGTAAGGAATGGTCTTGTTTGTTATTTGATGTAGGAAGACCCAGATCATCATGGGTAGCATCAGTCTTGAGCCTGTAGAACTGAAGAAGGCTAGCAAGCAGCCAGCAGGCAGATGGGTGCATTAATTTTTCTCTACTCTTGACTGTGGGTATGATGTGATCAGTTGTTTCAAGCCCTTTCCACTATAACTTCTCCACTCAATGGACTGCAGTCTAGAACTGTAACCCAAGTAAACATTTCCTTACGTGTATTTCTTTTTCTGTCAGAGTATTTCACTACAGCAACATAAATGAAATTATAATAAAACATAAGCAGGAATTGCTTAATAAAATGAAACATCATTGTCTTGTGAGAGGAAATGGAGTCTATACTTTTCAGTCTTAAAGGGAAAGGACTGGAGAGAAGTTGGAGATTACCTTCTCCTAGAACACTAGGAACAAGGAGTTAGGAGTTATCTCATGGTGATTTTCTATATGCCCTGCATAACAACTATAAAGTTCTTACCTCAGCAAGATCAGTCTACAACCAGAATAAAGGTGCCCGATACTGGTATTCTCGAACATGGGCTTGAGCTATGGACAAAAGAAAAGATGATCTAAGGGGCCAAGAGGTACAAGACTGAGATTGGACAGGGTGAGTGTGAGAGAATTCTGACCAATCGATTCAAGATTCTCTCTGTGCTGTTGAATATTTCAGATCCTTGGGATCCCATGCCCTCTCTATGGCGCAGGTTGGTTATAGTGAAGTTGAGGGTGAAGTGTCCCAGAGATGGGGTTGTACCTGTAGCAGAAAAGAGGAGGTGGGAAGTTTAATATGCATCATAACCCAGATGGCTATAGTCAAAGGAATGGTTGAACTTAGCTGCTGTGTAACCAGTCTTCAGAATCTTCTCATCTCACAAAACTAAACCTCTAAGTAATTAAACAGCCCCCATTTGTCCTTCTCTAACCTGTAGCAACCACTATTGGTACTTTTGGTTTATATGAATTTTACTATTCTATACCTCTCATGAGAAAAATCATATAGCATTTCTCTTTTTGTGAGGATATTCTCAATATTATCTATGTTAAATGTGAGGATTTCCTTCTTGTTAGGGGTAATAATATCTGACTGCATAGATACACTGTATTTTTATCAATTAACATGCTCACATATACTTTTTATTTATATTTTATAGGCTATTTATGTATTTTGACCAGATAATGCATGTGAGTATGAGTTACTTATTCATTTATTTACTTACTGGTGTGCAAGTGTGCTGTATGTGTATGATGTATGTGCAAGGTGTGTGTGCAGGTGTACGTACCTAGGCATGCATAGAGGCCAGAAAAGCCCTGCAGTGTTTTGTTCTGTCTCTGTCTGATTTCTTTGAGACAGGGTGTCACTGATTTTGGAGGTAGGCTTGCAACCAGCAAGCCCCAGGGATCTTCCCATTTCTGCCTCCCATAGTGCTCGGGTCACAGCTGACTTTTCACAGTAAGTGCTTTTATCCACTGATCCATTTCCCAGACAAAGATATTTATTTCTGAAGCTAAAGTGATACAGTCACTGTACTATATTTTTGTATCCCCTATAGCATAAGGTTGGATTGTGTGCCCCAAGCCTGTCCAAGGGCTTCAGTTTGACAGAATTTATCTCTGTGGCAGATGCCTAGAGTCTTAGTAGACCTTATGCCCATGTCTGGGAAAAATAAAGAGATAGGACAATAATCACAATCATGACTATGATCCAGAATAGTTTTCTAATATTCAAATAGAATTCATACACGAACATATGCAGATTGCTTATTCATGAATTCAATCATTCAATCTATAAATAAAAAGTGAGTATGAAGTAGGTGATAAATACATGAGGACTGAATAAAATTAGAAGTAAATTCCACAGAAGAAACAAGCAAACAATTAGTCATCATGATGAGAGGGGAAAAAAAATAGGCCAGATGTGAATGTAAAGAAAGGGTTAGTAATAGAAGGTAGTCTGGAAAAGTCTTTCAGATCCTTGAAGTGAGATTTGGAAATTGAGAAATCAGAGATAGTCAGCCTTCATAAGTAGCTAGTGTAAAGTACTGTGGTTGGACCAAGGTTAGTGTGCTAAAAGAACAAACTAGTGTCTGGGGTGGCCCAACCGTAGACTGTGCAAAACAGGCTGAGTGAAGAGCAGATACCATACAAAGCAGTGTGGCAGTGTCAAAAGCTCTAGAGTCATTGTTCTTAGCTGTAGAGCTTGGAGTAGGTGATGTGGAAAGGAAGGGTTGATGGAGCTGCTCTGGAGAACTTATGGGAATGATATTGTACATTTATCTTCTATGGAGTTGATTCTAGGGAAGGGGGTCCTAGAGATATTGGGACATCACAGTTTTGAGTACTCACTGCTTGTGGTAGGGGTCCAGTACCGATGGTTATAACCTGCAGATAGGAAAGCAAGATTAATGATAAGGGACTGTTATTTAAGCACAAGAGATGAAAAGAGGGTAGACCTGGAAGTCGAAGTCATTATAAAACATTCTGAGACTTATATATAAGGAGTAATGACTGCATTTTACTTGGCCCTTATTATGTGCCTTGTCCTCTGATAATAGTCATGATAACTATCATTACCAATAATTTTACTAAAACAATATATAATAATATAGCTGGCAAGATGGTTCATTGACTAAAAGTACTTGCCACCAAACCTTGCCTTCTGAATTCAATACTTTGGACCCACATGGTAGAAGGAGAGAACTGACTCCCACAGTATTACTTTAATTTCAACATGTATATGAGGACATGCATGTACACACAAACACAGACAAACAAACAAATAAATAAAACTCTTATTTAAATATTCAGGGCACCACAGTTGTTGGTCTAAAGTTTATGAGTTCCCACTAGCTTGGTTTGGTTATCTCTATAGATTTCCCCTTCATGATCTTGATGCCCCCTAGGTCATAGAATCCCTCTTCCCTCTCTTTGACTGGATTCCTGGAACTTGGCCTGGTGCTTGGCTGTGGATCTCTGCTTCTGCTTCTGTCAGTTGGTTACTGGATGAAGGATCTATGATCACAGTTAAGGTAATCACCTATTTGATTACTGGAGTAGGAGCAAGGGACTGGACTAGGCCCTCTGCACAAGTGAGACAATTATATATCTTGGTGTGTTTAAGGGACCCCAGGCAATGAGATGAGGATCTATCCCTGGTGCATGAGCTGGCTTTTTTGAATCCATTACCTAAGTTAGGACATCTTGCACAGCCTTGATGCAGCAGGGGCAGGGGGAGAATGTGGGGGGAAAGAAAGGCAATAAGGGAAGGAAGAGGAACAGGAGAAAGAAATGAACTGGGAGAACACAATGGAGAAACAAGAGGATCAAAAAGAGTAGGAGGAGTGGAAAAAGAGGAGAAAGGGGTAGAAGAGAAGGAAGAGGTATAGGAGGAGGAGAAGATAGCAAGAATGGGAAAGAGGAGAAAGAGAAGGCAATAAACAGGAGGAGAAGGATGTGAATAGTAGAAAAAGGAAGAGGAGGAGGAGGGGTACAAAAAGGAAGAACAGGAGGAAGATGAAGAGAAGGAGAAATAGCAGGAAATATTTAATCCAAAGAGATGAAGTAGAAAAGGACTTGGATTTCTTTGGTGGGTTAAACATTACAAAATGAGCCATCTAAGAAATATTAGGCTTCTATCAGGGTTACAAGAAATTCTCAAACAATAAAAGATGAAACTGGAAAGTTTATGTAAAATAATTTCTCAAGGTTGAGACTATTAATTTAATAAATATTAGGGGACTGTACTATACCTTTGGGCTACTTACCAGCATTCACTTACCTATACCTAACAAAAAATATTAACACCCTTTGAGTAGTGACATGGATATGTCTCCAGACATAGGATTCTAAAACCATCCCCTATAATGAGCTATTGGCATAAAAAAGTCACTAAGTAAATGATGTTTAGGATCTGAAATGTATTCCAGAAAGCTCATGTGTTGAAGGCTTTGTCCCCAATTGGTGAAACTGTAGAAAGGTGATTGGATTGCAAGAGTGCTAACTTCATCAAATAACATGGACCATGAGAGACCAGCTCCCATGATCAGCTCAGGGTAATAAAAAGAATGCCTTAGAGTAGTGAGGGATAGGAAGTTTTTTTTTTTTTTATCTTAGGGTAATTAAGAATAAGGTTAAATCTATCTATGACTGGTGAAATAAAGACACACACATGCTTTCTGATGTTTACTTTCTCTTTTACTTTATCTTAAGAATGGTCTCTGACTCTGTCTCCACACAGCTACATATCTCCACACTATTGCATATAGCTACATATCTTTACATACAAACATTTTCACATGGCTACACATCTTTCTTTTACATACATTTCTCTTCTACATCTCTTTTCTATACAGTTTCATCTTCCTTGCCTCCACACAGTTACAAATCTCCACCCAGCCACAGTTAAACATCTCATTTACATAGCTCTCTCACCAGACAGCACTTTACACACTTCCTAGGCACAGCCTCTCTTTGCAGCAGTAGCTCCTTCACACCTCTCTCTCTCTCTCTCTCTCTCTCTCTCTCTCTCTCTCTCTCTCTCTCTCTCTC